CTCAGAAAAAGAATAAGGAAGTTTACTGGAAGGTGTGTGGGCCCACAGTCCTTGTCATCCTCTCCTGGGCCTCATGCTCTCACCATCTTGGATCTCTGCYTCTCTATATATGTGTTCTCTACACCAGCCAACTTCTCCACCTTCTGCTGACCAACTTCCTTTACTGATATGGTTTCTGCTTTCTTATCCCTTTAACAGGCAGAGCTTCTTTCAACTTCAGCTCCCATTTCAAAATGGCAAATTCCTTCTATGTTTCTTAGTAAATATCCCTGAGGAGGACACTAATCAGTCCAGGGTGTAGATTTGAGCAGATTTCCCAGAATCCCGCGCTAACTGATGGTGTTGTTAGTTGGGACCAGAGTGAGCCAATGTCACCTGGAGCCAAATAAGATCACTGAGGAAACAGGAAAGCTTAGAGGCAACCTGTCCACTGTAGTCCTGCTTCACATGCCTCTTCCTGCCCCCACAGACCCAGCAGAGAGGCTTATTGGCTGCTTTTTAAAGTCACCTAGACATTCCTATTTCTACTTATAACAATTCATAGAMATTTTCTAGGGGTTTGTGGGAAAGTCAGGAAAAGTCATCTCTTTTTAGAAGTTGGTAGAAGAAGCAACTTCTTGTTGATGGCAGTGGTGAGGCACTGAAAAGTTGATCTATTGGGGAACAAAGGAAAGTAAAGAGACTGTCCAGAAAACTAATCTAAAACTGAGAATTGCACTTAGAAAGGCATTCAGTAGGATGCCCTATGGATACTCCTTGTCCTACCTTCTTTGCCCCTACACAATCTAAATCCATATTAGGTCCTATAGATTCATATTTTAGGTACCCTATGGCKTATATAGGCTGGTCTAACAGACTTATGACCATTTATGACTTTGTTTCCTATGGAAAAATTCACCCTCAGGGTTGAATTAACTGATTTACAAATGGACTTGTGGAATACAATTTCTGCCAAAATTGAAAACTGCCCATCAATAGCAATTTGGGACTTTCACTTGGGAACGATAACTAGAAAATCTACAGCTCTTAGAAAAAGGTTCTCCTTGCTTTCCCACCACTTATTCTGTTCCCAGAGGAAAGTATTACCAGGGTTTAGTAACATTTTAATAAGTGAATTTAACCATGAACAATAGAGATTGTCATGGTTTCTAGTAGAGCAGTTAAGAATAAAGTTGAGTGTTGGAGCCAAAGTGATCCGAGAGTGGGAGTTGCACTTGTGGGAGAGAACCGGCACATCTCCTCTTCTGCTTCTCTCTATCTTCCAGGAGAGGTATTCCTTTTTGTGTGCTCCCCTTCAAGGCCAGGACTCTGCTGCTCAGTAAAGGATGTGTTAGATAACTCTAGGCCAGGAGATCTCAAATTAAGTGTGCTCTGAAACACAGCAGAAGTGGTAAATAATCTAGACCCTCTGCCAGAAATTTTTTAATAAGTCTGGAGTACAGCACATAAATTTGTGTTTTTAAACCAGGACCCCAGATGATTCTGGTGCAGATGGTTCATGTATCATATTTGAGAAAGACCCTATACTCTGGGGCAGAATCTGGCTCTCTGGCTTGGATGAGGGATGTGTGTAAGCACCAATGCATGTGGGCACTTGCCCTGTTTTAATTCTGGGCTCCAGGAGAGACATTTTGTCTAAACAAAAGGATTTGCCCCTATCTATGCCAGAAGACCTCCACATCTGAGTTTGGGGTCAAGTTCAAATGAAGTAATATCTCCCACTGATTAGGGCATTGATCTCTGATCATTGAATCCCTGGGCAGAGCAGAGATTCTCAGCCTTCTTTTACATTAGAATTACCTGGGGATCTTTAAACAATATTGATGCCTGGACTGCACTCTCAAAGAGTTGATTTCATTTGGATATAGTTTAGATACAGTCTGGATATCTAGATTTTTTTAAAAAAACTCTTTGGCTATTTCTAATGTGTAACCAAAATTGAAAACCACTATGATAGGGAAAATGAGCTTTATTTTCCTGGAGTCCTACCTGAAAACAATTTTAATATAAAGTCTTTCTTTCTTTTTCTTTTTTTGTTTTTGCAGAACTGGGTTGAACCTAGGACTTTTACTTGAGCTACATCCCCAGCCCTTAATATTAACTCTTTAAAAATTTTATTATACTTTTCACCATAAAAGAAATCTCAAATTTGCATTTCTACATGGCAAAAGAAACAAACAAAAATAACAGGAAAGAATACCTTGATTAGGGTTTCCCTGTGAATACAGTTAACAATAATGAAAACATTGCTAGTCTGCCTTCTTTTGTCAGTTAGCTACAAAAAATGTCATGACATGATAAAACCCAGAATTCCCTAATATCTCAGCTATAGATAAACTCAACTACAATGATACCTTTGGCTTTAAGTGCTTTCCTTAAAGAAATAAGAAAGTTTTAAACCATTATAGTTTTTTACCTTTGCATTTGTCTAGAGACCTATATGATGAGATTCATGGTTGAGAATAATTACATTTCATGAATTCTTTTTCTTTGCTAGAAATAGGTAAATAAAATTAATAGCAAAAGTAAAAGTGAACTTTTAAACAAATGGACAGCTGATTTTTAACATTAGAGGAACAATKATTTTATTAAGTCTGTAATAATCTGATATATTTACCCAAATTTTGTGGCTAGTTTGTCTAAGCTTTCTTTATAACAGCATGGTACATTTGGATTTTATGAAAATTAGACTGTCTTTTGTCAAACAGTGGAATTCTGTACTTCCGGATGATAATATTTATCTTAGAAATAGGGTGCATGGCCTGGCTATATCTAAGCTACATTGTATATCTGATGTGACACTAAAGAGACTGTGTGTATGTGTTCAAAATTATGAGTCYTGAACTGGGGGCCCATAATCCTCTAGGCAATCTGTGGACTTTTGAAAGTCAATGTACTCTTTGAAACTGTTCAGTTTTGAGTGTATCTGTCTTGTTCTATTTTTCTTGGTGATGGACCATAACCTTTTTGAGAGTCTCAAGGAGTTTATAACTAAATAAAGTACAAAAAAATAATCCATTAGGATTCAGGACTCCATATGTGGTCCCTTTTACTTCAATGTATTACTGTGAACAAGATATAGAAAAAGAAAAGAAAAAAATCTGCTTTGTACCTCAACCATGCTCTTCCCTGTGCCAAGATTGCTCATGTTTATGTGATGTTCTGATAACCATTGTCTTAGCCAAAATTGATTTGCTATGAATGGGAATCAAAGGGACCAGTCAAGATTTCAACTTTTGTTTCTTTTGCCTCTATTTGCAGTTTAAAGAATGGGTATAGTTTTCTAATTGTAGGACAGAATGTAAATTTGACATTGTCCCATCTGATCCCTGTTTTCCTATACTTAATTAGATGGTGTCTCTTTGAGGTGGTCATTGTCAAAGGCTGCAAATCCTCATAGTAACTTAACTCTAGATATACCCAACATGGGAAAGTGTGGACTTTTTGAAATGATAATGTAAAGAGGAATGATTTATGAAAAARTACTTTAAATAGTAAATTTCCTTAACTTTAAAATTTATTCCACATACAAAAGTTAATTGTAATTCCTTTTCAGGAATATAAGGGAATATTGTTCTTTTATAGGTGACATTTAACCCAATTATGGGAGGAATGTGACTTTTGGCAAAATAATATTTTAAGGTAAAATTTACCATTGCCTTTTTGAGATATTAGAGTAGGACAATTGTGTAATTAAAATTTCCCCTGGTCTGAGAAATGGGATGTTTATAATTTTTTATTATCAAGACTGTTTCCAAAGTATATGGTCAGATATAGTGGTTTTCATAAGGATTTAAAGATTGACACTAATCTTTGTACATATTTAAATATGAGGGTGAAATATATTTTGTAAGCTTCAATGTAATTATAATGATTTAACTTTGAGAAAGTTAGTCTGCATTTGCATAAGAAAAAGAGACTATTTAAACAATTTATAATTGAAAAAATCTTTAATTTGAATTTTGTCTAAATTCAGAATAATCCTTTTCATGTTACAGATATAGAAATATCTATGAACCTTTAAAATTACCGATGTCATTCTTAAATCCAAGTGGCCAGGAACTATCTGAAAATTAGTTTGTATTTTACTATGATTTTCTAATTGGTTGGTTGATTCATAGAGATGGGTCAGATAGAGATGGAAACATCTTATCCCTCTTGTAAAGAAGATTCCAGTGACTTAACTTAATAATAATGATACTATACATGAGCTCCTGGTTTCTTATGTACTTAACAACAAAGAAGCTAAAGATCTCTCTAGTCCTGTGAAAGGAATCAAAAATGCTTTGTTACATGCTAATGATTTTTCAAAATGTTTTAATGTTTAAAATGTGATTAATTTTCTCAATTGTAGATATGTCTGCAGTAGCAAAAATAAAAGCAAATTATTTCAAGTCACCTCTTTGCAAATTAAAAACAAATATGATTAACTGCAAGACTCAGAAATTGAATAGTATTTCTTCTTGAGAAAGAAAAATAAGAGTACCACTGTAGGTGACATTTACCCTCCCCTATGGAAGAATGGGGTTTCAAAAAATTATTACAGTGGTGTTTTCATCCACATTAAATTTATCTAAGATTTTCATACTGTTGCCACTTCAAGATCTTTGATAGTGAAATGTCCAGAAAACATTCCCATTKCTGCCTTGGATTATACTTTGTGGAATAAAAACTGACATTTAGCTTTCAGAGATTGGAAAGAGACTCTGACCCTTTATATTTTTTTWAAAACAATCTGTATTGTTCATTTAATTCCAAGTATTTTTTAAAATTGCTATCCTACCACTTMCCCTGGTCCTGGCTGCTATATTGGTTCATTCTTTAAAACAACATACACAGTCTAGCAAGGCACATGTCAGCTAGGCTTTAGATTGGAGCTAACCCTGGAAAATGTTTGTTCAAACAACCCTGTCTTCAATCTTTCCTTCTGAGGTGAAGCTTTTGAGAAAGTAATGAGAAAATAAATCAAGTGGGAGATTGGGATCTGCCTGAGTCCTGTCACTCCCACGGTCTATGAATGGCATGGATGGGAGTATTAGTACAGCCTTCAGGTAGTAGCTATTGATGCTCCTTCAAAGAGCTTCCTAAGGTTAGAGTCCTTGGGGGCACTGGGACCTGGCCTTGCTAGTGGTAGCCACAAAGGGCCGCAAGGCTCAGTTGGTCATCGCTGGGTGAGGAAGGGTCAGGGTCACTGTAGATCTGAGTCAGGGCTAAGCTTAGGATTTCTTTCTTCTCTTTATAAAACCGTAGTTCTTGTCCTGCTTTCCTGGCTTCCTCCAACTGCCTCAGGGCCATTYGCAGCTCTTGAGAGAGAATTCCTGGTGACTCCCGCTCCTTCATGATCCAGTCCAGTGCCATGTGGCTGCGCATCTTTTCATCTAGTGAATACTGGGAATAATAGGAGATGACTTCCTGGGAACCAAGAAACCAAAGTTCAGAGTGTCAGTAGAGAGCCACAGAAGCACGGTGCTCAAGGCCTCCCTCCCACTCCACCCCAGACTTGGGCTTTACCAACAACCAAATTTCTCTGATATCCAGAGATGAAAACCAAATCTCCTGGACATACTTTTAAAAAGGAAATGATGAGCTAATTTTGGTCCAGCCGAACAAGTCACTCAGGTCTGCCTCAAAATACTATTAGAAATGACAATAATGTTCACAAAATAAAGCCCTTACATCTCTAAAAAACACAAGCCTTCTTTTGAAAAATATATTCCTAGAAAAATTGGTATGAATATTGCCTCATTCTTTCATTGGACACTTCTGCCCAGCATCATCTTCTTTGAGAAGATAGAAAGAGTRAAACACCTTTTGCAGAAAATAGGAAGTGTTTATTCAAGGGAGCTTCAGAACAAGACTTGTTGGAAGCCAGAAGAGTCAGCCTCCTAGCTGCTGTGGTATTCACATAAGGAAAATAACAGTCTAGATAGGTCATGGTTACTACAGAGAGAATGTTAAAATAGTATTATGGAATGTAGGCATTATCATTATTGACAGGATAATGATAGCTTCATGGTATATTGTCTCTTGCTTTGGAAATGATTAAAAATTAGCCACTATCATCAATTCTTTTTTTAAWTTTTTTTTTAGTTGTACACAATACCTTTATTTTGTTTATTTGATTTTATGTGGTGYGGAGGATCGAACCCAGGGCCTTGCACATGCTAGGTGAGTGCTCTACCACTGAGCCACAACCCCAGCCTCTACCTTCAATTCTTTTGTTAAAAAAAAAATGTTAATACATCCTACTGTCATGTATAGGTTTGATTGTATGGAGTGGATGCATTGCTTATTTTTATTTTCAAAAACATATGGTATTTATTTATGACCTTAACAAATTAAAAACAATCATGGAAAAGTGTTTATAACCAACCCAGCATATTTCAAAGGCCTCTTACAAAATCAAAGGAAAGAGGGGAAAAAAAATAGCCAAAGCCATTGTCAGCTACTCATTTCTTTTCCATTTTTGACATTTTGGAAACCAGGCTTTCTAAGCAAAGAACAACAGAAAACTCCTGGGGCTGCAGTCCGCAGGAAAACTTTCACATTCAGCCTCCACTTGCTGACTATAGAGGCTTTGTTCCTCATACAAATTCCTGTTAGGAAATACTCAAAAATAAACTGCCGTCTTTCAAATTCTGATGGTGGGTAAAGAAAGGATAAATCTCCCAGAGGCCAGCAGGTGAAGACCATTAATATACAGGAGAGGGTTTACATTTGCTTTTAACAAGGGGGAAAGGGTGCTTCTCATAAGTAATGAAGAAGGAGTAGGACCCTGTCTCTGAAAAAGGAAGAACTGCCAAAAAAACTGAGGTGATTGAATGCCAGCTTGTCCAACTTTACAATTCTTTCTGTAGTCCACTGGGAACTTTTAGTGGGTGGGGGTGGGGATACYCTAACCACAACCACCTTTGCCTATTGGCAGTGAGAATGTTCCAGACAGTGAGTCTCAACTTCCTTCTGCACTGGAGCTTGTGAAGGCACCCAGCCGGAGGAGATTCTACATCTAACTTGGAGACCAAGTCTGTCAATGATGGCTGCATTTGGCATTCAGTACAGGTATTTATATCARTCCTAAATCCAGCCACCATTTTTCATATGTTCAGAGTGTTTTATATATTTCTTCATGTGCCCTCTACTCTTGATAAATAATTACAAAATTTAAGTAGACAAATAATCTACATTAAGGAAGATGACAACCAGCCATCTGCTTTATCATACAGAGCAAACCTACTGGACAGTCTCACCTGTCGAGAACACTTCGTTTCACGAAGGGCTTTTAGACTTCCATTCCAGTGCAGTAGTTGGAAAATGGTCATCAGCTCCTATGAAATGGAACAGCTGTCATTAGTTATGAAGCAGAAGTGTCCATCTGCAAGAGAGGACCAGGGCATAATTCTGATCCCCAAAAGTATCAGGGAAACATGCGATATTGTCATAATACTTTGGGACTTTTCAAAGAGTAGAGTCCCCAGGCTCCTGGAGAATTCATCCTTCACGCCCTTGCTATATCTGTGCTTTCATAACACAGTAACTAAATAATTGGCATGTATTTTTCAACAATGAAAAGTCATATGCTCTAATAATCATACACCCAAAACGTTTCTTAAATATACCAGAACATCTGAGAAATAATGTAAAGGCAAGGTTAGATGTTGTATTGTTTTTTTGAAATTGTCAGAGATTGGGAGCATTTTAAATGTTCTTTTTTTTTTTTCTTTTAAGAAATGTTTAAATAAAGTATGACAAATCCACACTACTGAATACTTCACATACGAAAAGGATGAGAACATTCTCTAAGTTCTAATGTAAAGAATTCCATGGTATATCGTCAAAACAAAAGCAAAGTGCAAACAGGTGTAGTCTGTGCTACTATTTGTTAAAAAAAAAAAGAGGGGCTGCAGTTGTGCCTCAGTGGCAGAGGCACTTACCTAGCACGTGTGAGGCACTGAGTTTGATCCTCAGCATCACATTAAAAAAATAAGWAAATGAAGGTTAAAAAAAATGTACCTACTTAAAAAAAAAAAAAAAAGAATAAACGCTCCCTTTGTACCATTGACATGTAACTGCCTGGAAGAGTTCTGTCAAAATACAAAAGAATCTGGTAATAAGGTTGGTGATGTAGTTCAAGTGGTAGAGGCTTATCATGTGTGTAAGGCCCTGAGATCATTCCTCAGAACCAAAATAATAATAGTAAAACAAACAAACAAATAAATAATCTGGTCRGGTATGGTGGCAGATACCTGTTATACCAATGACTGGGGAGGCTGAGGCAGGAGGAAGGCAAGTTTGAGACCAGTCTTAACAACTTAGCAAGAAATTGTCTTGAAGGAGAAGAAGAGGAAGRRGAAGGAGAGAGAGGAGAAGGAAGAAGAGGAGGAGAAGGTTAAGGGCTAGGAATATAGTGGTAAACATCCCTGGGTTCTATCCTGAGTACCAAAAACCAATTCGAAACAAAATTGGTAGCACTTGCTGTTTCTAGGGGTAAATGTATGCCTGAGAGGTGGCAGTGGGAGGGTTTCTTTCTTCTAATCTTTTAGAAAACCTTTTGAATTTTGAATCATGTAACCATGTTAACTTATTAAAAATAAATAAATAAATGTTAAGAATTTAAGCCCAAACTAAATATGTAAATATCATGAAATAAAATTWACAGGAGGCCACTAGTTTTGACTGAGCTCCTGCAGTGGGTCTAACAGACCAAACCAAAATGTAGTCACTTATGCTAATGTTCCATGTCATGGAGCTGAAACTAAGTTGTTTTTCTGATCTTCCAAGAAACCAGAAGAAAGTGATAATAGCCAAGTTCCAGTTGTAGCTGGGATCCCAGCATGATAAGGAGGTCATCTCTGCTTTAACCTTTAAGAGGAAATTAACTTTGAAACAACCAATCTATTTTTGGTTCTGTTTCTGCTTTCCTTAGCTGTGTTCTGCCTGTAAATTCAAGCTTTACTACTTAGCTCGTCAGAATATGTATTCTATTTTATGGAATTCTTGCCCAATTCTAGAATTGCAAATAAAAGCCAACTAAATCTTTAAAATTTTTTGTGACTTTATCTTATGACAATATAAAACATACAATGGACAAGCTACAGAAAAACTTTAAACATCTCTAAATTTATAAAATCAGTCAAAAATGCCTCAAAATGCAGACAATAATGTTGTATTGACATTAAAACATGTCAACACACACACACTAAAAGAAAAAKAAAAAGAAAAAGAAAAAAAAAAGAAAAGAAAAAACAAGTCAACACTGTCCACATCTGATGGCATTAAGTTCTATAGGAGCTCCATTTTTCCTTTCACTGTCTGATATCAAGGGCAAGCTAAAATGTAACAATATACTGAACAGTGTTATTTTCCTAATGTAGTTAGAGCTAGAAGTTTTCCACCAGAGTTATCTGTGTTTCACTTATAGAGGGATTTTTTATCTTTCTTTGTTTTTGCCAGAGAGATATCTTTTAGGATGAATAGCATAAAACACAACCACATAATTATTGGAAAATTACTCAACACAATTAAAAAATTTCCTGTTCTTGAAAGGTTATGAAAAAGAACATTTAGACAGATGTCTTACTTATACAAAAAGCTGACTGTTTTTTTTTTTTGACTGTCTTTACCTCCACCTACTCAGGAAAAAATTTTCATTAGGAAAACCAGGAGACACATACTTAGTCTTAGATTTCAGGCATCTTATAATTGTCTGGCAAATTTTAAAGCTATAAAACTATGGGAGGAGTAAGTAGCTCTATCTATTCTTACTTTATTACAATTTAGTGCTTCTCTTCTTTTCAGTCTGAGATCAAGTTTGGCTCTCTTTTCTGTTTTCCACTGAACAATCAGTATCTTGGGAGCCCAAAGAGCCATAGTAAAAGAAAAAAAAAAAAACCTCTAGTTTCTATTAATAAAAATGCAATATGAATATCAAGCAAATTTCTTGTTTCACTCCAGAGACCCCATTATCTTCCTGGAGTCCTGGGTCTAAAATCCAGGGAAGCCACCCTTTCATGGCCTCCTCTCTCCTGGACACTATCTAGGTTTTCACACCATCGCATCAGTACACTAATATGGAAAAGTGGAAGTGCTTCATTCCAGAACTCAAATCTTGCCTAATGAGGCCCTCACTGCTATGCTTTTCCATTTTTCCATCAAAGTAGCCTCAGTGACTCTGGCTGGTAAATATGTGCTACCCTTCCCACCAAATCTACTCATAAATACTTTGTAACCATAAAAGTGAATGTAAACTGTGCATACTCTAATATGGAACAGGATCTATGATGCAATAGGAGGGCCAATATTTGTAAATAGAAATTTACAAATGTGTGGTTTCAAGTTTTATAAAGAATCTACTTGAGCATTGTGAATTTCCATTTTTTAAGAAGACAAATACCACCCTACTCCTCCACTTGACCCCCACACACTCCAAATCTTTATGTAAAGTTTTTTTTTTTTTTGGTGTGTGTGTGTGTGTGTGTGTGTGTGTGTGCACGCACTACCAGAGATTGAGCCCAGAGTCTTAAGCATGCTAAGCAAGATCTCTACACAGTTACACCCCAGCCCCTATCTAAAGTTGACAACTAAGAGATATACTAGATTTATTTTGTGGTTTCCAGTATCATCTTGGTATTGTCCTATCATCCCTAGAGTCCAGTTGAGAAACAGACTGTTGCTAATAGGCATTTTGATTCATCCTCTGACAGTTGTTGCCTAAAAATATGTACTCTTCTTCCTCCAAGATCTTCTGGGCTCTCATATTTATCTAACCACTAAGGGCTGCCTCTTCCAGATGAGTTGAGGTCATTCCAATCTGCAAATCCCCAAAGATTCTAAAATCCACAATGATACTGTGAACAGAACTGGAAACCTTTCTCATGCCCCTTGACAACCTTCATCTCTCACAAACTTTCCCAAAGATGATTATACCATTTTGTCTCCAGATTCCTTCTCTGGTTTGTCTGAATCATGATCCCATCACCAAGCAGCTCTTTTTCACTTCAGTAACACAGCTGCCTCTTCAATGTTACTCTGGTTGCTGAAATTCTCTAGGGAAAATGACCTCCTTTCACCCTCTTACACTATATCCTGACCTCAGAATTGTCCTCCTTTGTAGAGATAGTAATCTCATCATCATTATTCTTCCTGTCATATTTCCTCTCATGAGATGAAATTTACTATCTTCCTGATACTGAGTGACAACATGCTCAGCCCCAAAAGATCCTTGCATGATTGCAGACTGACAGGGAGAGGGCTGCTGTGGAGTTGTGAGGAATCTCTTCCTAGTCCCACCATGCTTCTTCGCTGCCTGATGCTTGCCATCTTGCTTTCTACCTGGAGAAGTCCTGTCACCCTAAAGGAAGTTAGTATTGTCCGTTCCACCAGGTCCTGTCCTACTCTTCCCTGAGTCTTTATTTTTTTTTAATTTTCATTAGTTATACATGGACACAATCTTTGTTTTGTTTATTTACTTTTATGGTGCTAAGGATTGAATCCAGTGTGCCTCACATGTGTGGGGCAAGCCACAACAGCAGCCCTTCCCGGAAGTCTTTTATGTCCTGGTGTTTGTTATATGGGATAATCTAGAAGTCCGGCAGCCTGGCTAGACTGACAGGACAATCAGAAGCTGGCTTCTTAGGGTAAGATAGGCGAAGAAATGTGTAAGCGGAGTGAGATGATTCATGCACACTTAGAGTCTTTTGTTTAAATTTTTGATCTTTTACTTATTAGGAGTTTTTTTTACATTCCTTTTGAGTTTTTAAAAAATTACACTATAACATTATCTACCTTGATCATTTTTAGTGTCTGTTAAAATTTTGTGCCACAGACAAATGCCTCACTCACCTAACCCTAGTCAGAGCCCTTCTCCTGTGTCTGTCAGCAGGAAGCCCTGCTTCATGAGTGTGAGGTCTATGCAGTCATAGTGTTCAGCACATATTACAGTCTCAAACTTAACAAACTTTAACATGCTACAGTCTCAAACTTCTCAATAGTTTTAGAACAAAGACCCTTGCATTTTTATTTTGTATTGGGCCCTGCCAATTACATAGCTGGGGTCATGGTTAGCAAAGAGAATTAAAGTTGAACGGAGAATAAATCCTGTGTTTTCTTTCCTCTTCAGGGAAAATTGCAGTTGCAGCTCTCAATAACAGCTTTCCTGGTTTATTTTTCATTCATTCCATTTCAACTGGCAACAAGCGGGCTCTGTGCTCACAGTTTTGCCTGGTGTTGCCTCCTATTAGACATGATGTTTGATTTTTTCGGCTACTTTGTCGGGGAGAAAATGCTCACCCTTTCCCTCTGGAACTTTGTCTGAAAGACTGGCTCGGTTCTGTGATTCATCAGAAATAAGAAAAACAAACACTGTAAATGGAGAACTTGAAAAACAGGTGGGCACCATCTCCCCACCCCAGAGAATGGATTTAAGAGGAAATTTGTTTATGGGATGAGGTTTTAAAAGGCGACCTGGAGAATTTAGCAAAGATGTAAATAAACAACTCTTCCGTGGATTGCATTAGGCTTCAGAATAAATATATTAACCAGCTTCAGTCAATGTCTGCCTAGAATCTGACCTTGACAAGACCCAGCGACTATGGCTGCCCCATGCCCTCCCCACCCCCAACAGCAGGCAGTTTTCTCTGTGGCAAGGTGACCTTAAAACAAGCAGCCCTGACTTCCCTTGCTTCCCTCCCACGAAGTGAAGGTAAGCAGAGGCCTATCATGTTTCCTCTGAGTGCTGGCTGCAGCATGGGCCCCCTGAAAGCCCGAGGGCAGTCAGGAGACACCAACCTTGTTTTTCTATGGCATAACCATCCATAGCTAGATAAAAACACATGTCTATGACCCACCAGGGGACTGAATCGCTGCGTCTCTGCAGAAACAGCCCAGGTCTAGAGTCAGTTCCCATTATGTGCAGACCTGTGCTGATACATTTAGCCTAGGCCACTAAGGAACATTCTGGTCCCCAGCAGGTAGGCGGAAGGAAAAGGGATGTGCTCCACAGATCCTCCTCCAGGGTTGCCAGACTCTCTCCTGTGGAGAGGGAGCTTGGATTTTTCCCTGTTCTCACATCATTCTCTTCCTTTGTCCCCATCCTGTACCCAGTCTTTTTTATGGGAGTTTATGAAGCATTTCCACAGTATGATTCAAATTATTATTTCACATATTAAAATGCCCTATTACATAGACCACACAGAAAACACAGCCCAAAGCAAGGCAATAAAAATATGACTAAAAGGAGGCTGAGTAAAGCCTTTCATACTACTTGGAAGGAATTTTCAGATTTTTAAAAACTCTCACTTCCCCATCTTTGGCAAACTGACCCCATCCCATTAAAAATCATTCTCGATTTTTCTGAAAATAGAGCTAGTAAATCACATGGAAGGTACTGTGTAGTGGGGCAGGAAATCTTCATTCTATAATAAAAGAAGTGCAATATTCTTTGATGGGGTGTAAAGGGAGGAATTTTTTTAAAAAACTTGTTTTCCTCCATGTGGGCAGTTCTATGCTATGTGCTTTATAAATGTCACATTATTTAATCTAGAGTAGGCATTAATGTTTCTCTTTTATAGATAAGAAAACTGAGTCTCGGAATGGGCAAGCTTCCAGATGGTAAGTGATAGGCTTCCCACACAGGACTATGTGATTTTAAAAAATGTGCATTCCTTCTCTTGAGCCATTCTTTTCCCTTTTAATTTTTTGTTTAGTTTTATGTTGTTATGAAAAAAAATGGACCTTCAGATGTTGCAGGGGGTCACAGTCATGTTGGCCATTCCACATCTGAAGCTTTAGGTTAGGCAGAGCTGTCAAGGGAATCCGTCTAGCCACTCCTGGCATTTCAGTAAAGCAGTCCTCCAGAAAGACATAGAGTAACGTTGTTGACCCCCAGGAAGCACTTGCCATGTGCCAGGCACTGTGCTGAACTCTTCCCCTACTGTCCCATTTGATTCTCACTTGGGCAGTGTGAGGTGGTGCTATTATTGTCCCTGACTTACACCCAGATGAAGAAACAGGTTGAGCTACAAGGAACAGAGCAAGACTAAAACCAGTCAGAGCACCCCAGAGTCTGTGCTAGAACCAGAGCTAACACGTGCCCTTGCCTGCTCCACAGGGTAGACTCCGAGGCTCCCTAGTCAGCAACACCATGTCCCCTAAAGGAGAAAATTAGATGACCAAGATCAAGGACAAAAGGAAGAAAGAGTATTTTTACTTCAGTCACAGGGGCAATTCATAAAGAAAATTATTGATTTAAAAAAAACAGCAGGAGGAATGTGTACACAGGAGACATGGCTATGCCATTGGTTGGAGAAAGATTTGAAATGTAGGAAGAAGGTATTAGAAAGTTGATTGTTTCAGGCCTCAGCTGTAACACCCTGGTAAATTTTACCATGATGAAACTTTTTTTTTTATTTTTCACACTTTGTCCATGAAATTTGTATTTCTGGTTGCTTCTTGGATCTAATTTTGTAATCTCTGCTTACTTCTTCTTATCTAACCTAAGAAAATAGAATTACTGGGAATAAAGTCTCCTGTTTGTAATATTATATATTGATTTCTAGCATCATTGCATGTTTTGTTCAACTACATTCAAGTTTCATTTTCTAGGGGAGTACATGTTTCCTACCTGATCCCCACTGAATTTTCATTTGTCCATCCCAGTACCATATAAGAGTCAGGCATGTGAGCTCAGAGATGATCAGACATCCTGGGTCTGAACCCTAGCTCTGCCATTTGCTAAGCTATGACAAACTTCTTTTCAGCAATGAAGATAATAATAATAGCTACTTCATATAGTTGTTTCGAGAGTTGAATTATGATAACATTAGTTAAGTGCTAATCATCACATCAGATGAAGAAAGAATCTAAGAAGCATTACTTATTAATACTATTTTCATTGTTGTTAACGTAAGTGTTTATTTTGCAAATACAGATGCACCTTGACTTCCCACAGGGGTAATATCCTGAGAAGTGCATTGTAAGTTGAAAATGCCATTGAGTCAAAAATGCAGTTAACCAACTGAACGTTATAGCTTACCTTAAACGTGCCTACCCTACTTTAAACATGCTCAAAACACGACCTACAGTTGTGCAAAATCATCTAATGCAAAGCCTATTTTATAATGAAGTATTGGATATGCAGTGTATTTTATTGAGTACTATATTGAAAGGAAAAAATAAAATGGTTGTTCAGGTATGCTTTTACACCATCGTAAAGCTGCAATGTCATAAAGAGGAGACCATCTGCAATAGGTAATGTAGCAAGCTCCTCAGCTCTGCTGTTGCTGGTCAGCAGTGGTCGGAAAACGGTAACAGATTGTTAACTTTTTTGATTTGGTTGGTGATAGGAAGAGGCAGTTCTCATATAACAGAGATACTATCATTGAAGTGGTATCTTTCAGTGTACACTGTGGGAAACTTCCTCTATGGTGTCTGAAAATTATAAACTAGATGGGTACAACCAGAATTTTAAATTTGATTTGGTTTAAGGGAAATTTTGTACTGAGAAGCTGGTGGGGGTGCTACAGGGAAGTAAGATTGCCATGTTCCTCACTTACATCTTAGACTTAAGTCTTTTACTTCCCTTCATAAAAATGAAAATTTTGCCTTGTTTGCTTGTTTGTTTTAGTTCACTAAAGTGTGGCTAAAATGGGGCCATGGTGTTGGACTCCATGAAAGGGAAAATTAAACAAAAATAGTTTTGTTTTTTTTTTGCAGTTAGTACTAGGGATCAAACTCAGGGGTACTTCAACACTGAGCTATATCTCCATCCCTTTGTTATATTATTTTGAGACAGGATCTCACTAACTTTCCCAGGCTGACCTTGAATTTGAGATCCTCCTGCCTCAGCATCATGAGTTGTTTTGATTTCAGGCATGTACCACTGCCCCCAGCTGAGAACTAGGTTATTAGAATAGGAGATGTTAATGATGAGAGTTGCATCTCTCCCAGGCTTCTGGATAGAATAATCAGGAAGTCAGGTACCTGAAACTCCAGCATGGTCTTCCCCATGTTTGACTCCAGCATATAGTGATAGGCTCCAATGCTCGTGCTCGGGTCATCTGCATCATCTAAAGTTCCCTTGGGAAGGAAAGGAGAAAAAGAAAATGTTACTGATTTCTCCTCCCCTTATTTGAGTGACCAGAGATCAATCCTATGGCCACACAGCAAGTTTACAATCAACTGTCACAGTTGATTTTGGATAAAATCCTTAATCTTACCCTAATTCAGAATAAAGAAGATTTTATAATCAACTTGAATCTAGCTTTTGATTAGAATGTTAACTAATTATTCACTTGACAGAATAGTAATTCCAAAGCAGAATTTCCCATATCATTGCATAGGGTTTTCCTTGGTGGTGGTGTTAATGCTGGTGTGACTGCCCTTTGAGGTGACTTCATTGCTTTCTGAACTCTCAAAGCACTGACCTTGCTCTGATTTCACTGACAGCCAGGGCAAGATTATGTAACTGACATTGAAGAATTCTCCAACTGCATGGACCATTCACATTTTATTGCCATGATTCTTAGGGGGAGCTTTTATAATATGCTGGCATTTGGACTGGAGACATGGATCTTGGTTGATATTTTTTCACTCTCAGACCACTTAATCTTTAGGAAACAAGGTGGGTGAGTGATGGGTAGAAATGAAATTCCCTTTCAGTGTGGTTGTGGGAGTGGTGCTAAGAAGCTAACATAAACTCTGGAATGGCATGCAGGCCTCCTTCAATATCCCATGGCCTGAATTCCAAGGAAGGTGGGCAATGGCGACCTTGTGAGGCTGAGCAAACAGTGACCAGCATCAGATAGCAGCAAATTTATAGCTTTTGAATGCAATAACATTAACACACTGCTGCTGAAATATTTATGTTGGCTTTTTAAATATCCCAGAGGAAATCCATGCAGAAGCCTGCAAGCCATATATATTCTTTTTCTTTAGAAATTTCCATGAAAAAATGATAAATTACATTTACACTGAGGGCCCTCCCTGCTCCTGAGTAAATTCCACACTTATATAAATCAGGCATCATTTTCCTAGCTTCTCTTCCTCAAAGGCACTTGAAATTTACAGAGCCGGAAAATAAAGGCTTCCTTTCATCCTTAGACCAGATATAGTGCAGAGCTCCCTGCCTTCTCCCTGGCAGGTCAATTGCTCTTCTTCCCTTTCCCCTTTCAAATATCTCCTCTATGTGATAATAGCATTTGTGAGGGGGAAAGGACCATGATAGTCAGATGATGTCTCCTTCACTATCAGCAGCTTTTACAGAAGGATAGCTTTCTAGTCAGATTGAGGCAAACAAAAGGAAAACCTTAGATAGGGTTTATGCATGCTAATGCAAACCAAAGTTGGCTACTCCTTTGGTAATGCCAAATTCCTGCCTTCAAGCACACTCAAGAGAAACACCTGTCACAGGTGGGGGCCCAAGGCTTCCTCTGTGGCTTATAGTTTGGAGGTAATGGGGGTGAGGACCTCCAAATCATTCATGGGGCAATTAATAATTCAGTGCTGAATTGCTAAGAGAATGCCTTTTTTAAATTTCTAAGGGTTTTYGCTCTTAAAGTACTTCATATTTAATTGTGTCCATCACAGAAATTTTCTAAGCTCTCTGAAAGAAATAAATTGATATTAAATATGATAATTATAACAGTTAATATGTATCAGGTTGACTCTTTAAATAGTGTTTTCTTAAAAATACAGATTATAGAGCCCCACATTGGCTGACTTTGACGTAAATAAATAAATAAATAAAGGTAGATGAAATTATCTACCTTAATGTAAAGTTTGATTAATTGTGATCCAGGGAATTTAAGAATATTACAGAGCCATGCGTGGTGGTAATCTCAGTGACTCGGAGGACTGAGGCAGCAGGATCACAAGTTCAAGGCCAGCTTCAGCAATTAGCAAGACCCTGCCTCAAAATAAAAAGAGTTGCTAATATAGCCCATTTGTAAAGCAGTACTGGGCTCAATCTCTAGCACAAAAAAAAAAAAAAAAAAAAAGAATATTACTGGGATGGGGAGTGGAAAGCCAGCTCCAATTTCACAATTTCTAATCCAAGTATTCTTTTTGCTGAAAAGTAATGATTCAGTGGGTAAAAATTTAACCCGTGCAATTTTTAAACTAAGAATCTGCTCACTTTAGCATCTCCCAAGATTCAAACGCCTCCTTGGTATTCTCAGTGAGGCCAGCTTATCCCTTCCCTGATGGTACTCACACTGGTGGAGGCCACCGCTTCCTGAACACTTTCCATAATGAATTCCTTGGTGATCCTGCGAGAAGGCAGTTCATTGAAGAGGGAGTTGATTAGGGCCACTTTTGCTGCATCCCGCCTGGCCTCAGCTCTACTTAAGCAGCACTTGAGAAGGGAAGGAGAAAAGCAGCCATTAAAGGATTCAGCAACTCACCATTTTATCCTTGCATCAGTGAATCTCTGGACATTTCTATTCATACATTCAATGTCTGCACCTGTTCTTCTATACCCATTGCTACTCCCTGAAGATCATGCAGGTTTTCCTTTAGTTGTAGAGCCCATGCAAATGTCTTAATTGTCCAATTAAGACATTTGGTCCAATTGCAGAGTTACGCAATGTCTACTATGGATCAGAGGCTTTGCCTACTCTGTTAATAAGTCCTAATAAAAGAGTAATGGCTGCTATTGTGGGCTAGGTTATTTAAAATCATTACTAGGACCTTCCTTGAATCTCTATTTCAATGAAAAGAAGTAAGGAAAGAAGATTAACATGGAAACTGGAGTTTCTTGAACAATGATCAAAAACACAGGGTTCAGAGTCAGACTGCAGGGGTTGGAGTTCAAGCTCTAACACATACTAGTTGTAAGATTTGAACAAATTGATTAGTTTCCCTGTGTCTCCATTTCCTCCTTTGTAAAATGGAAACAATAGCAAGATTGAAGTAAAAAATAAATTAGTATTCCTTTTGGCTTTCCCAAGGATAGACAACACAGACAGCCTATGATTAGTAACTCATTAAGACAAATGAGTTACTAATTCTACCCCGTGTGCCCAAATGTACTATTGCYTTCCATCCTCCTAGCCCAGCTTCCACATTGCTCACGTCGATCTGCCTAATATATCCTGCTATTTTTTTTTTATGTCCTCTTGTCTCTTTTTCTAACAGATAAAAATTCCTATTCTTCAAGTTCTGGCTTGATGTGTATCTGAGGTATCCAGAGATGGGTAAAGGCCTATAAAAACATGGACTCTGGATTCCATGGACCTGGGCCCCAGAGTGTGATGGCCTGAACCCAGGATTGTAGATTCTACAATTACTAGTGCAAAACAAGTCCCAGGAAGAGAAGCCAGGTCCYGGCCCTTGCCAGTGGGGTGGTCAGGTAGCCTTTCTCCTCCACTCAGTGACTATGAGCTCTGGATCATCTGAACTTTTGGGGCTAATTGTTTCATCCAAATCTTCTACTTCCTAAAATGTATGATTCTCAGAATTTGCTTGATAACTGGTATGGAAGAAGAAGGAAGATGCCAATAATCACATTCTTCCACAGTTTCACAGCCTAAAGGACCTGTACCACTCACAGAATTAAGCCAAATACCTCTAGTTTTTAAGCCCTTCTTCAATTCTGCCCCATGYGCCCTATGTTAACCATCTCTGCCCTACCCAGGGCATGTTCTCCAGAGGCCTGCTTCTCCCCCCATCTCCACAAACCCAGTTAGGGGCTTCTGAAATCAGGTTCCAGGTCCTCTGTGATTTCCCCTGAAACGTCATAGAATAGTAGAAATGATGTAGTGATCATGTAATTGACTACTCATCACTCTTCTCATCCTCTCTCCTAACCCCCAGACCTTGGCAGGGCCTAACCCAGGGTCAGTGTTTAGAGATGTTTGTTGTATGGTCAATGCATGGATGAAGTAAGTATAAAACCTCGAAAATGGCAGGACAAGACACTGAGGAGAATTAAAAAAAAAAAAAAAACCTGAATGGGCCTAATAAAGTAGAATATTTAAGGGCAGGARGAGCTACTTTAAATCACAATACAGAGTAATTTTCCATATAATCTTGCTACATTTTGGATCTTAAATGCTGCCCAAACCCCACATATTGAAGGCTTGGTCCCCAGCCATGTGGACTGGGAGGTTGTRGAACCTTTAGGAAGTGGGTCCTAGAGAAATAAAGTTAAGTCACTGGAGATATGCCCTGTGAGGGGACACTGGGACTCAAGCTACTCTTCTCTCTCTTTCACTTCCTGGCTGCAAGGTGGTGAGCAACTTTCTTGTACCACAAACTCCTGTCATGATTTGCTGCCTCATCATAGGCCTAAAAGTCACAGAATCAACTGTCCATGGACGAAAACCTCTGAAACCAGACCAAAATAATCTTTTTTTTTCCTTTTCAGTTGGTTCTCTCAGGTATTTTGTCACAGTGATGGAAAACTAATACAATCATTTAAGGGAAAGAATAGAGTTGGAGTTCTAAAACATATGTGGAAAATAGTTTGGGTTTTCTCCTTGTTTTGAATGATGAGAAAAAAGACTTTGGATGTAGCTATAGGCAGCAAAGTCATTCAAAGTTTAGACCTCCTCCAAGGTTTAGGTCACCTATGTAAAACCAGAGCTTTGTCTTGTAGACTTTGCTGGAAATTTACAGAATGTAGGGTCCTGAGTCCGCAGTCCTTTACTGAACTCTGATGCCACCTTCCCTAGAAGTGTTTCCTGAGCATGTTCAAGGCCAGGCTAAGAGGACCACTGACCATGACTATACTGCAGGGTGATTGTTTGCTAGTGCTGTGCCTTCCTGCTTCACCTCCAGGTTGTGAGTTCCCTCAGGGCAGAATCCATGTCTTAGCTGACTATAAGTCCCCTGCCCTACTTGCACAGTGCTTTTGTGAATAACTGAATACAGCATAGGAAAATTTTTTTAAAAGTTACTAGACCACCAAATATAATGTTCAAGAAATTCTTAAAGAAAAAATTATTTGAGAAAAGGGTCCCATTTCAATATACGTTGTGTGGTATGTGTAACCCAGTAATATAAAAATACATTAATACCTGGATTTCAGAGGGATAATTGGGTATTATGTTTAGACAGACTGATAGGACCATTTTTGCCTAAGTGCAGGCTATGTTTATTATTCTTTGGAAAATCAGTTCCCCATTAAAAAGCAAACAAAGTTTTTGCAAGTATTACCTGACATCTGTAGCAGCAGCACATTTTAATAGCAATTTAGCTTTACAAAATCTACACTAGACCTGTTGGGTTTTAGAATTTAGAGAATTAGATTCAGATTGGAGCACTCTTAGGAAACAAGTTTCTATCTAAATAATAGCAATTTAAGCCATTTTTCATAAAGAGAGAGCCCTAGTAAACACTACTTAGTTTAAAAAAAAAAACTATCTATTTTAAATAAGACCAGCTAAGTACTAGATCAAAGGCACCACATTTACAACCAAATGGCACTGCTTCAGAGATCAAAGTGCAGCCAGGATGAGAGAACAGAAAGAGTCTTTACCCAGGATGCGTGGGAAAAGAGACTCAGCCAGTATCAGAATGTTAAGATGGACACTGTCTTTACTTATTTTCTTGTTTCAGTGTACAAAATCCTTCCTTAAAACAGGATAGAAAGTGTACCAATTGATAAGTGCATAAAATAAATTCTGAGCATCTTGGGGCTTTTCTTACTACTGTATTATACATTTCTGAAAGACACGTTCTTCAAAATGGCTATAATATTAACCAGTCACTTTCTCCTACAAATCTAAGCCAGTAATTGTTGCATATTTTTCTTTAGGGTTTTTTTAAGGGGAACTTTAGACCCATAAGAACCTGTACTTGGGAAAGAAATTCAGCAAAACAGAAATCTACTGAGTCTATCTAAACCAGAGTGTAGATTCTGCTGGAAGAAGAATTCTGTTAGAGTTACCATCAAAGAGTGGGAAATGCTGTAAGAAAATAAAATATGGTAAGTGACAGGACGTTTTATTGGTGTTCAAACTGGCCCTCAAAGACATCAGTTGGGGAGTGAGTGAAGTATGATGTTATTTCAATGTAACTGCCTGCTAGAATTAGACTTCCCAGGTTGCATAGTTTATTCTTGCTATTTTAAATCCAGACCCCATCATAAATACAGATTAGTACACTGTGCCATTCTTACTTACATCCACTARCCATTCTTACTTGTTAGTATAGACAGACAACGCCTGTCCCTTGCACTCTGTGAACGTGCAGAGCTAGAATATTTAACAGTGTAGATTTTACTGAAGTCAGCTGTGGATTTCTTAGGCACATGGAGCCACATGCTTTCCAAGTGGCCAGCAGACCTCACTCAGACATTATTTGTCTTGATGCTCAGATGCCTTTCATTTGCTGGTAGATTATAAACCATTATAATCATTTCAAAGTCTTCTGACTAATCTAAAATTAAAGAAAAAAAAAAGAATGACTTAAAATAACCCAGGAAGCTATTTAAAGGCAGTAGTAGCCTGCCTGCAACATGCCCTCATGATCTTACCTCCTAGGGTTCACATTCTAGTGTATTCCTGCTCAGACTGCACTGGGGGTGGTCTGTGAAACCAATGGAACATGGCAGAAGTGATGGSCTATCTCTTCCAATATTGGATTGTAAAAGACCGTGAGCTTCCATCTCGGTCCTGCTTGTTTTCTCTTTGATCACTGCTTTAGAAAAAAAATCAGCTTCCCAGTTATGAGCAGGGACACATGACAGGGAATAAAAGCCTTCTGCCAATAGCACCTGAGAGAGATTGGAAGCTGGTCCTCCAGTCCCAATCAAGGCTTCAGATGAGTGCAGCTTCAGCTGACAAATGGACTGCAACCTTCTAAGACCCTGAGCCAGAATCGCCGAACTAAGCTGCCTTCAGATTCCTGGTCATCAGGGACTATAGGAGACAGTTAATGTTTATAACTTTTGAGGCAATTTGTTATGCAGCAATAGATAACTATGACAAAGGCTTTGCTGACTGCCAGTAATTAGAAATTGTCTTACCACACCCTTGAGGGAGAGCTCAATAACAATAATCCTCATTGCTGACACTATGTGCTTGGAACTGTGCTAAGCACTTTGTTTATTATTACATTCCATTATTACAGCAATCCTGTGAGGCTGATTTTGTCATCCTGATTTTGCAGTTGTGGAAATGTAATTTGAGGACAGGTAATTTGGCTAAGGTCACACAGTATTCCCTAATCCAGTTGAGTACTGTAGACAAGACTCCAACTTTGACATTCCATGGGTCATTTTGCCATCAGATTCCAATGGTGTTTTCCCCATCCCTACATGGCAAACTTGATTTCACTTAAAAGGCCAAGGAGGACAGAGGACACTGTGGTAGTAAATCATGCTCGCCGAGGAGGGGAATGTGTTAATGA